CATTGCTGTTAAAATGTTCATGTGACAAAAAAAAATTCTCTGACATAATTCCTTTTGAAATGTCTGGAAGGAAAGGTAAAGCTCTTCTCCTTAGAAACATGGACATCAGAATTCTTCTGAACCCTGAGTTCATCAGGATTGCTAGTTCACAGCCAGGTCCCCCATATTTGGTTAAGTGTTAGTCTTTTATGTGGTTTTAACCTTCAGGTATCTTTTGGCTTACTTTCTGTGTCTCTTCCTGTGTATTTTTCCTTATCTTAACGTTTTGTCCCATGAACTTGAGATCCTTCTGAGTGGCATTTTTTCCGTAATCTCTCTAAGCAACTGCTATCCGAAGATGGTGTCCTTCCTTTATTCTTCTGTAATAATTTATCTTCTTTGGTATGTAATACATACAGAGATAAAAACACATTCTATCCTTATTGTCTAGCTGAATGAAAGTTATATAGAGTGTATATAGGGTATATGTTAATTTGTATTTCACTATGTAAGTTTTATATTCATATATCTGCACACAAACTATATACAGTTGACCCTAGAACAACTTGCCAGCACCGACCACCTGCATAGTTGAAATCCTGGTTATAACTTACTCAGCCCTCCACATACTCAGATTCCCAGCAGTTAGTTGACACTTGAACAACATGGGTTGGACCTGTGAGGGGCAATTGAATAAAATCTGCATATATGTGGATCTGCACAGTTCAAAATCACAGGGTTCATGGGTAAGCTGAAGACTCGTATTGAACTAGAGAGGATGGAAATATACTTATCTAGATACAACTGACTGGAAAAAAGAGCTGTTCCTGAAGTTCCAGAATGTGAGAACTGATGAGACAAATGGACTAAGTGGGGGTACTACAGGGACCCTCTCTGAAGGACACTTCTAGTCCAGGGAATGCACGTAGAGGCTTTCCTAGGGGTATTTGACCCACACTATATCAGGCCACCTCTCTAGAAAATATTTTTTCAGTCATTCTGTAAATGGAAAAAGAATCAATACCTTTTCCCACTTACTGGGCATTTGATATATTTTGGTGCCAAAGTAGAAGCTAAGCCTATTTTCTTAGGGAGTGAAGAAGAAAATTGAAAGTAAAACAAACTGGGTGGGTCGTCTCCACTTTCCCCACCAAGTCTGTCTTTTGAATGATACGTGTCTTCATGTGCCCTTTTGAGAGTATTGACCCCTCTGGCTTCATCATGCCTCTGTGAGTGAGTGGCCTCATCCCTTGGGGTCTGTGGCTCTTAGAAACTTGCTGACTTTGAGGGGAGGGGTGTAGGTGGTAAAGATATGAATCACAGAGCTTCAATCTTTTCCCCAGGTGATGATAATGGGAAGAAGGCCAACAACCCCAACCACTGCAATTGCATCATAGACCAGATCTTCACAGGCGGGCTGCAATCAGATGTCACTTGCCAAGTCTGCCAGTAAGTAGAGGCTTTCCACAGGACACCGAGTGTTCTGGAACTCCAGACACGGTCTAGGCCACATTAGCAAGGCCATAATGTGGCCCCAGGTTCTGTAAGAGTGGTTTCAGTGGGTGCTGCTTATTGACATCATGGTACTTTTTTAATCTGCAGACCATTGTGTTCTGAGAAGTTCTTAAAGTTTTTAGATTCTTATTGCATAATGTTTAGTTGATGCCACCCCAGTTGCGCCTTCTTCACGATGTGTCAGTAGGTTGTTACATGACCTGCTTACAGTGGAACATCTACAGCACGACCAGTTGAGAAGCAGGAGAAGTTTTATTTAAACAGCTATTGGCATGTGTAGGGATAAAATAACTGCAATTGAAAAGACGAGAAATTAGCAGGTCGCCTGGTCAGTGTCCCCACTGGGGTTGCGAGGCTTTGCGTAGAGGCCATCTGCTGCTGTCCACACCCAACAGTGTGATACCCTACATGTCTCTGTTTTCCTTAGAGCCCCTGACACCGGAAGCCAAATAAAGAGCCCCCAGCTCTTTAAGGACTAGGCCACCTAGGGCAGATACTTGACATACATTCTCTAAAGTGTGTCAGTTTGGATTATTTCATGGCCTCCTTTTCCATTTTTTGCAATGTAGTGTGCCTAAATTCTTTACAGGTCTCGGTTCTGTGCTAAAAGCTCAAAACTTTCATTTCTCGGAGGAAAGTATATTAATAGTAAAGTTAGAAGAACCCTTTTATTCACCCTCAATATGCTCCCATGTTTTTTATTTCATTTCAACTTTTCAAAAACCCTGGGCATGATCCACTAAAATTTCAGAACCTCTAATGGATTGCCGCTTGCAGTTTGTACTGGGTAGACCAGATATTGGAAAGAGTCAGTTTTGCCTATAAGTGTTATAAATGCAGTTTTCTGTTAAGTGCCACATATCATCGTGGGCCATCACTCTAAACAGTTCATCCACACTCACAGTTTTAAATAACTGCCTTGTTGGCCCTATACTTCTGAACTCCATCAGCAGGTAATTGTCTCAGATTAGCATCCTGTTTAAATTTCTGTAGAAAATTTCCCAGTCTGTGAATCTCCTGTTTGTATATTTTAAAATCTCTAGGAAGGAACTGGCTTCACTAGATACAACCTTAAATGCTAGTGTTCAGCTCAGGATGCTGTGCCTAGTCAGTGCACACTCTGTATGTAAAATGTTCTTGGAGGTCTAAGTTATTACCTGGGCTCAGCAGTTCCCAGATGCTGCTGAGGTAGACTATCAATTCAGAACCTCCAGTTGTAGGGCCCAGAAAAAAATCTTGAGATGACTGTACTGATCTTCCGGGTTTGGAAGCTATTGCTTTAGGAACAGCCTTTGCCTTAAGTGGTTTAAACATGCTGTCCGTCCCTAGGGCCTTGAGAACCCAGGATGGATTGGATGTCAACACACCTTTTTCTGACCTAGGATATCATTTGGATAAAAGCTGTGAAACATTGAGATACATTCTGTGAAACATTGAGATACATTCTGTGAGATGGTACCTCTGAAGCTGTATGTGAATGTTAATTCTCATGTGTGTTTTTATCTCCTTTTCCTTCTAGTGGAGTCTCCACCACAATAGACCCCTTTTGGGACATCAGTTTAGATCTGCCTGGCTCTTCCACACCATTCTGGCCCCTGAGCCCAGGGAGTGAGGGCAGCGTGGTGAATGGGGAAAGCCACGTATCAGGAACCACTACACTTACAGACTGCTTGAGAAGGTGAGAAACCTGTCAGCATTTTTGTAGAAAAATAAAGGTCTTTCCTTGCAGGCAGTTGTCTCTCCTTGCCTTGAGGCTGTTCAGAGTAGTAGTTGATCAGAGTAAAGCCCTAATAAATTCAGGGCCACCCAGAGTCCCAAGAGTTTTTTTTTATACGTCCAGTGTAGAACATGAGAAAAGATTTGACAGCCTACAGATGGCTACAGTTGGTGTCCAATGGCTCATATTAGTTTGTCACGTTTTTGCAAGATGACTAGATATTCTGTCCACCTACCTTCGCATTGTAGCATGTCTGTATCACAGCTACTGTTCCCCCATGTAAATAAAGAGAAAGTTGAAGCTCCCTCACCTTTTGTGACTAATAATCTCCACCAAAGATTGCATTAAAATAGCAGGCCCCTCCTGCTAAGGCACATAGCGTTTCTGCAGAAGATGAAAACTTGTTTATGATGTCCTGTCTGCACTTACACGTGTTTAGATCTATTTACTACATCATTGATTTAGACAAATGATAAAATTTAGAATGTAGATGCTATAAAATATATTTAAAGAGTTATTGCAATTGTAGCAAGGCCAGAAACCCTTCCCCCAGCTTTATTGAAATGTAATAGACAATTAGTTGTTCATATTTACATTGTACAATTCTAATGAGTTTTTTTTTTCAGTTATAGTTGACATACAATAATATATTTGTTTCAGTTATATAGCATAGTGATTAGAGCTCAAGTGAACACCCCACTAAACCTAGTTTCCTCTTCCCCCTTACATATTTATTACACCATTGTTGTCTTTTTTCTTTATGCTACGCTTTACATCTCCATGACTCTTTTGTATCTATCTATTTATATTTCTTAATCCCTTCGCCTTTTTTCGCCATCTCCTCATCCTCCCTCCTGTTTAATATAACCCTCAAAATATTCTCTGTATTTATCAATTTTTTTCCATTTGGTTGTTTCCATTGTTTATTTTGTTCTTTAGATTCTGCGTGTATGTGAAATCACATGATATTTGTCTTTCTCTATCTGATTGACTTCATTTAGCACAATACTCTCTAGGTCCATCAAGGCAATATATTTTTCCATCCCCTCCTTTTAATCTGTGTGTCTTTTACTCTGAAGTGAGTCTCTGGTAGGCAGCATGTGTAGGGGTCTTGTTTTCTCATCCATTTAGCCAGTCTACCCTTTGGTTAGAGCACTTAATTCTTTTCCATTTCAGGTAGTCATTGATAGATATGTATTATCATTTTTTATTCATGATTTTGATACATGTTTTTTCTTCTTAAAGAAGTTCCTCCAACATTTTCTGTAATAGTGGCTTGGTGCTGATGAATTCCTTTAGCTTATTTTTGTCTGGGAAGCTCTTTATCTGTCCTTCGACTCTAAATGATAGCTTTGCTGGGTAAAGTATTCTTGGTTGTAGTTCCTGTGTTTTTATCACTTTAAGTATTTTGTGCCAAGCCCTTCTGTCCTGCAAAATTCCTTTTGAGAAATCAGCTGCCAATCTTATGGATGCTCCTTTGTAGGTAACTAACTGCTTTTCTCTACTGGTTTTAAGATTCTCTCTTTAGTTAACCTTTGGCGTTTTAATTATGTTGTTGTCTTGGTGTGGGCATCTTTGGATTCCTCTTTTTTGGGACTCTCTGAACTTCCTAGGGTTGTATGTCTATTTCCCTCGCCAGGTTAGGGAAGTTTTCCATCATTATTTCTTCACATAGCTTTTCTACTTCTTTTTCTCCCTCTCCTCCTTCAGGTACCCCTATTACATGGATGTTTTTACACTTAATTTTGTCCCAAAGACTCCTTAAATAATTATGTTCTTGGCTTCTTTTTTCTTGCTATGTTTATTGGGTGACCTTGGCTTTTCCATCCTCTATTGATGGTTCATTCCTCTTCTTCATTCACTGTGTTAATTTACTCTAATATACTCTTCAACTCAGATAATGTGTTCTTCATTTCTGACTGGTTCCCTTTTATAATTTCCATTTTGATGTTTTTCTCTTTGTTAGAGTTCTCACTGAGTTCATTAAGCATCTTTAATTTCATTAAGCATCTTTATAACCAGTGTTTTGAACTCTGCATCTGTTAGATTGGTTGACTCCATTATTCCTGGATCTCTGTTCTGTTCTCTCGTGTGGTTTCTACTTCTTTGTCTTCCCATTTTGGCTGCCTTTCTGTGTCTGTTTCTATGTACTAAGCAAAGCTTCTGAGTCTCCCAGTCTTATTAGCATGGCTCTGTGTAGTAGGTATCTAGTGGCACAGTCCTGAGAAGGGTTTAGCAGCAGGCCCAGTTTAGCCCCAGCCTGTGTGTCCCTCTAGGGCCACCTTTAAGATTCAGCAAGCAATCCACAGATGTTCTACTTATAGTTGCTTCAAGAAACCATGCCAGAAACCAAGGTCAGCTGCTACCAGTGTAAGTCTTGAAGCGGCTCAGCAAGGAGCTCCTGACTCGCCGGGGATACACCGGGATGTGGCTTGGATGGGGTTGGAAGTTGTGGAAGGCAGAGTTTCAGGGAATCTTCTGGGAAGAGCGACCTCTGTTATCCTATTTGATGTCTCAGATATGGCTGTGTCTACACAGTTGCAAGGGGGGAGGGCTCTACAGAGAAACAATGGGTACCGCCAGCACATCTGCCTGGGAGAATGCCTCACCTCTGGCCCAACAACTCATCATCTCACTGTAAGTCCATGGTGTCCCTGGAGCAGATGACCCAGCGCTGGTGCTCAGAATGAGCGAGTCCATCACCGCAAAAGTCCAGTCGTGGACATGGCCCCTTTAAGAGGCATCTGCAGCTGCCAGCTGCTGCTGCCTCAGCCTTTGTTCCATTCAGCCACTAGGGACTGAGCAGCTTCACATCCCTGCCCACTCCTACCTCCAACCATTGCAGGGCGATTTCTTATTTCTCTCCTTAATTGTAAAGCTTGTTCATCTAGACCTCAAGTGACTCTGCTTGCTGTTTGCTCCATGTTTCCGTCACAACTTTTGATGTATTAAGAGCAGCTGAACAAAGATCATCTACGCCACTTTGACTTCTCTCTCCCTAAATTTTATTTCGAGTTTAGTGTTTTACAACCTTTTATTTTTTACTTGCATTAATTCAGGATCACTGCAGATAAATTCTTTTTGGGTGGAAGGACAAGCTTCCTGGTTTTTACCTTGCTGCATTAGTCAACAGGCCCAAAGGTACATGTTTAGAATTTTAAAGTAAATTAACTTTGTTATACTGTTAGAGCCCGTTGTAAATGAGGTATCAAATTTTTAATTTGGAAAGCAAGCATATAAATAATCAAAAGCAAAACAAAATTTTTTCAAGACAGTATTTATAATGAAATTAAATTTCACAGTCAATTTTAATAAAATTGAAATTTTGCCCACAAAACAGGCAACAAGGGACACTAAACAGCAAAGGGTCCTTTTTCAAGTTATATTTAGAGTAGATCACAAAGCTGTTAAAAGGAACTTAAGGTGCACGTGATTTTTTTCTCTCTCCGGGTTTTCAAGTGTCTCATGAGGATGAGAACTTTAAGGGTAGCTGGGTGGCTGTCACCATATGCATGAGTGCTCACACTGCTCCTTGAACCCTTCGTGGAAGAGGCAGACTCAGCAGGACATGAATGCTCTCCTTGTAACAGGGCAAAACTCTTCGAAGCCAGTTGCTTCCGTAGGTTTTCCATGGTCCTTTTTGTATCAGCCTTGTGGTGCACTCTTTGTTCTTTGTTGCCTTATTGCTATTTCAACTTTTATATTTGCATGTTGTATTTTTTCTCAATTGGGATTGAAATGCACCCCCTTTAGGGGAGGAGACTACCTCAGGATGATTTTTGTCCCCCACAGCACTAGCATGCTGACAGGCATCTGGTAAATGTTTACCTGCCTTTACCCCATCGGAATTCTTGCAAGGTTGCAAATGGCAGACACTGACTCTGGTGAACTTAAGCAAGTAAGGGCATTAGGTAGTTCACAGAAGCCAAGGGAAGGCTAAGAACCCAGCTCAGCAAACAGATGGTAACCATAGGAGCCTTGGGACCAATATCCAGAAATATATAGCCCACTGCTGCCTGGCTGCCCTGGTGGGGTTAGGGTGCTGCTCCTGAAATGACAAGTCTTCCCACATCTGCGTCTTGAGAATAATTGTTCTAGGTACAAAGTCCCCATGAGGAGCATGTAGTTGGTCATGCCTCAGTTAGTGCCCTCATTGTTGGGGGCTGGGAAGAGCAAATACTGGCTTTTGTGGTCAACTTTTATGGTAGAAGATAGGCCTTGATCCTACCTAGATTTGGAAATTCCCCAAATGGAGGAGGGGAGGAATGGCTAGATACTTGAAAAGGCATGTGAATTGGGTTCCCTTTTCCTTTCATAATTTTTGTATAACTGAATTTGAAACCAGATTGTCTTTATGTCTAACATTGTGGGACTTGTTTGGCACTTTTTTGCGGGTACTGAAAGCAGGTTTGGTGACAGCATCTTCACAGCCAGGTGTAGGGCTTGGGAAGTTTGTTGCCTCAAGCACTTGCTTCCACCCATCTGTCACCTGCCTAGAGCTCTGAATGCTTGAGGGACTGCAGAGTCCTCTACATAGTTTTAGCTGTGCTTGGCATTGGACTTCCAATTCTAAAATTGCATAGTTCTCTCTGCCAGATATTGACACTTATATGAGTACTTGTTCCTATTGTCACTGCTACTGACCATGGAAGCTTACTGAGACATTAGAGATGCAGTTGTGGCCAGTGGTTGTTCCCGAGCAGTGTGGTTGGGGTGGGGCAGACTGTTTTAAGTTGGAAAATTGGATGATGGAGTAATGTTGTGGCAACTCTGGTGTACATTGAAAGTCTTCACTGTTAACATGGGTACATTTTTCTCTCCTGCTATCAGGCATCCAGTCAGTGTTCAAACTACTCTGATTGGTTTTTAAACTATATTTTACAGTTTGTTCAAATCAGGATCCAGACTAGGTACACATATCACATTTGGTTAATTGGTCTCATAAGTCCCTTTCAAATCCAGGCTTCAGCTCCCCTCCCCGCTTCTTTCTTTGCCCTTTTTGTGTTGAAAAGACAAGGTCATATGTCCACAGAATTCCCTGTACTCCAGACCTTGCTGACTGCGTGTGTGGGCTAGTTCTTGCAGGTAACAGTGAACATGCTTAGATGCCTTGCTCTATCCTTCCTCCTCCATGAGATTTACCTGTTCTTGCACTTCGCTTCCTGGCATCTTTTGGGCAGGCAGGGCTCACTTTGCTCAGGGGCCTCGTCCGGCCCAAGCTAAGATGGCAGAATTTCCAAAGAACAAAGAAAGATCTCCAGACTCGGTGAGAAAAGGTCAAGTTTTCTTTTCGTTTTTCAGCTTTAAACTTTAAAAATTTGGTGTAAACTGTATCGGAACATTTATTTCATGGGTTTTTATCTTTTGTAACTGCCACCTGTGCCAGAAATGCTTGCAGACTTATCTAGTGCAACCTTTCTATTTCAAGATATATCTTTATCATTAGAAAGTTACTATTTACCCCAAAGTCTCATTTTATTAAGCTTTTTGAGATAATTGTAGCTTCCCAGTATAATATCCTAGTACAACCAGGATATTGAAATCAAAGCAGACAAGTTACAAGGCACTTTCATCATGCAGGAGCCCTCATAGCCACACCACCTTGCCCTCCCACCACTACTGTCTCCTTCACCCCTGGCAGCTGCAAATCTGTTCTTCATTTCTGTAAATTCCACATTTTAAGAATGTTCTGTAGATAGACTTATACAACATGTAACCTTTAGGGATTGGCTTTTTTCAGCCATCATAATTTGCTGGTGATTCATCCAGGTTGTGTGTATCAAGTTTGTTCCTTTTTATTGCGGACTAGTATTCCACGGTGTCATGTACCACAGTTTGTTTAACTATTCACCCATTGAAGGACATCTGCGTTGCTTCCAGTTTTTTTTTGTTTTATTTTGTTTTTGTTTTTGTTTTTTAGCTATTAAAAATAAACCTGCTGAAAACATTTGTGCACAGTTTTTGTGTGAGCCCAAGTTTTTGTTTTTCTGGGACAAATTCGATTGCTGGGGTAATTAGAAAATTATTACTATTTCACCAAACTTTTCATTTTTAAAAAAATTTAAGTGTTTTTTTAAGTGACGAGAAAAGGTAAAGGAAGAAATAGTTTTAATTTTTTTCTTTGTGAAATTATAAATACCCCTAACTGTATGTATGTTTTTAGTAAATTAATCCAGTAAAAGTGATAAAATAACTATTTTTCTTTTTATCTCTCTCATCTTTTTTCTTAAAAATATAAATGTTTTAAATACCTTGTAGATTTACCAGACCAGAGCACTTAGGAAGCAGTGCCAAGATCAAATGTAGTGGTTGCCATAGCTACCAGGAGTCTACTAAACAGCTCACCATGAAGAAACTGCCCATTGTAGCCTGTTTTCATCTCAAAGTAAGTTTCCCAGAAAACAAATTCTAGAGGCAGACTCTTATTTTTAGTCCCCAGAACAACTTAGAGCCTGTTGGTTTGGTGTTTAGAGTACATTTTATAATTGCAGTGACTCGGTAAGATGCTCTAAAGAAACAAGGGTTTAATAACTTAGTAAATCTTTACCTATCTTCTGTTGAGGAGAGACGTCTGTTGGGAACAAAAAGTAATTACTGCATAATGAAAATAGGATGTGAGTTGCTCGTCCAGGGTTGGGGATTGTTAAGGTTTTACTGCTCCTACCTAAATTCTTCCATCCTCCAAGTTTTTATTTTACTTAAAAACAAACTAAAACTCTTAGCATTATGATTTAGTCCAGTGGTCAGCAAGCTCTTTGTAAAGGGTCAGTTGGTAAATATTTTAGGTTTCATAGCCATATGACCTCAGCTTCATATTCTTCATTTTATTTTATGACCCTTTAAAAATTTTTAAAAACCCAAACCACTTCTAGCTTGCTTACTGGATTTGGTCTCCCATGATGCAGTCAAAGAATGTCTTTTACCAGGTGAAATGAGCATTATGTTTGGTTTTGCTTCCAGAGGTGACAGATATTCATCCTGTTCTCTACTATCTTGCACTTTCTGGGTCTGTTGTAAGATGTTTATTACTTTGAACAATCACATCATTTTAAGATTTTACTTGAACCCCATAAATTAGATTTATATGGATCAGTACTGCGTTATCGAATCAATAAGCTCCAGCAATGGCCAAAAGGGAATAAGAAAATTGATGAAAAGCATATTTTGGGGAGTGCACAGAGAAGCACCATCAGAGAAAGCCAGTTACAGCTTCATTCCTCTTCCCTCATTCTTATTTCTGTAGCGATTTGAACACTCGGCCAAACTGAGGCGGAAGATTACCACATATGTGTCCTTTCCCCTGGAACTAGACATGACCCCCTTCATGGCATCCAGGTATGAAAGGGTTTGTTCAGTTGTGTCTGTCTTCAAAAGGGTGTGGCTCTGTTTGGTCAGCAATTGGCACCAACTCCCTGATGAGGCAGTTATAGACATGGATATAACTGCACCAGCTAAAACCAAATTATTATCCTGATCTTAACTCAAAACACATTTTAGTTTAATGAGCTGTTTTCCTTCAGAAGTCTTGTTTCACATTTGGGTTTTCTCAAGCAACTCTTTTTCAACTTTTAGACAAGGAAATATATCAAGGATCACAGTGAGAAGACAGCATTTTAACTGATGGAACTGATTTTGAAATACAGATAAACAATTTTTCAGTTGTACATTTCATGACTCTTGTTTTCAAATCTCGATATCATAGACCACATAAAAATTTACCCTCCCCAAAACCATGACACTAATATATTTGACACATATTAGTTTCCTAGGGACACTGTAACAAATTACCACAAACTTAGTGGCTTAAAGCACAAAGATGTTGGCAGGTCTGCATTTCCTTGGAACGGTCTAGGGAAGATTCCACTCCTTGCCAGGAGGTGTACCAGGTAGATCAGAGCTGGCTCCACTCCTTGCAAAAGGAGTGCTCTCAGCAGTTCACTTCGCTAGCCTGGGCCTCAGTTTCCTTACCTTTACATGGGTATAATCTCTGCCTAAAAAGGAGAATTGTTGGAAGAACTGGAAAGCATACATAAAATGGATCCAGCACATTATCTGGCAGAGTAGGCCCCCAATAATACTGTTGGTATCATCTGAGCCATGTGTCTCTTAGGTTAATTATTTTAAATGATGCTAAGTTTTGCTGTGTTTGTTACAGCAAAGAGAGCAGAATGAATGGACAGTACCAGCAGCCAGCGGATAGTCTCAATAATGATAACAAGTAAGTAGTGCCCTGTGGGTGTGCCCTGGGCATCTCCAGGTGTGAGTGGGAAACCTGGGACTTCCAGTAGGATTTGGCAGGGAGGGCCCCACCAGCTTTTCCTAGGGAGACGACTGCATTTATGAGCAGCAGTGGCAGAGTTCATTTTTTTTGGCCACTGGCCTGCTTTCTGTCTTGCTGCCCACTAATTAATGTTGACAGTACTTAAGCCCTCTATTAGGAAAGTACTTCTCACACCTTTATCACAAACGCTTCTCTCGTAGGAGCCTGACCCCTTTCTCCTGGCCTTTGTACATGAGTGAGGGCCAATTTGGCCACCGCAGTCCTAGAATGAAAGCTCAGTGTCTGAATTCTGGACCCCTTGATCTTTGCCTTCACTGGCATTGTAATTTGGCCTCTGATCTTTCCTTTGTCATCTTTCTTCGTACCATTGGTGTGACAGGATGAAAGGAGAGAGTGGTTATAGTATCTCCCAATACCAATTGCTCCCATCACTTCCACTAAATGTGATTCTAGTGAAGTTCAAGAGCTGAGTAGGGGCCACCCTCTGTGCTGTCTGTTCACCACCTTTGATTCCTAGGGTATTACTATTTGGGGTCAGCAGGCTACCCATCACCATGCAGGCCTCTAACTGCTTGGACTGTCTGGTTTCTGATGGTGATAAAATTGAGTTATCTACTCAGTCTCTCCCCACTCTTTTTCTCCCAAATCAGATACTCCTTGTTTGCAGTCGTTAACCACCAAGGGACCCTGGAGAGTGGCCACTACACCAGCTTTATCCGGCAGCACAAGGACCAGTGGTTCAAATGCGATGATGCCATCATCACCAAGGCCAGCATTGAAGATGTGCTGGACAGTGAGGGGTACGTCAGGGGTGGCCACTTGTTTCCCCATGTGTACCTCCAAATCCAAAGCCATGTCTGCCTTTGGTACCATTCTAGGAGGTTCACCTTCAGTGGCTGAAGTAACAAGGCTTATTCTGGACAGAATGCCAGCCTTGATTGGTCACCAGATAGGAGACAGTATCTCTGAGCAGGGCACTCTTGATTAATGCCTTAACACAGAGAACATGGTGGTGGTCATTTATTTTAGTTGTGGTATGAGCTGACACATGAGTTCTTTAGCAGCTCCTCTCTTTCTCATTTTTTTCCTGGCACATCATCATCCACCTTTAGCCTTTGCTAAATCCTTAGTCTTGAGACTATCAGTAGGATCCTAGCCCTAGGCATGAGCTGCCATGACTCTGCAAGGCGCATCTGGACTATATATTTTGAGCTGTGGGGAAACCCCCTTGGGAGAGAGCCTGTGTAGAAGAGTTTGTATTGGAGAGGACAGCCTTGTGGCAGTGAAGAGGCCAGAGCAGAGGAGGGGGTTAGACTGAATCTGTTAGAGGAGTCTTACCAAAAGTTGCTCTTATACAGAAGCACTGGCAGTTCTGGACAGGAGAGGCTGGGTTCAGGAGCTGTGTGGGAAGCAAGACTGACAGGTCTCATGACTTCTTGGTGGACAGGTGGAAGGACAGGTCTCATAACTTCTTGGTGGACAGGTGGAAGGACAGACTCCAGGGGCATTATGTGGGAGCACTGCCACTGCCTAGCCAAGGACCCTCCTGGGGATCTAAGATCCAAGAAGTCAGACTGCTGGAGAGTGCTGAGGTCACAGTTCCAGGGTTCTGGTTGGGGAGGGTTAGTTTTGCCTTAACTGCTCATGAATTAGGACATAAGCATACTTCTCTCTTTGCCTCCTCAGATACTTACTGTTCTATCACAAACAGTTCCTGGAATATGAGTAATCTTATCCTCATCTGGTCAGAAAAATGAAGGCCAAGAGTTGGCAGGCCTCATAAAATGATCCCCGAGATCCCCAACATCATGATACTACCACTCACAGAAGTGCCCCCGAGAGCATCAGATTCCTGTGCAACCTGGACCTGGAGGAGGCAGCAGCAGTTATTGCCCAGGATTGTGGGGTTTGAATGGACAAGCACTGTGGTGGGAGGAAACACCAGGAACTGCACAACAGAAAAAAACATGTAATGAAGGACGTGTTCTGCATGGGAAGGGGCAGAGCATGTGTATCACTAGTGTATCTTCTTTGCTCTTCAGTGTGTGAGTGAGAGGCACCCCCACACTGTGGAGTAGCCTTGCCCTGGTGCTTCACTTCCACCGCATGACAGTGCAGAATTAAAAAGGCACCAGTCCATTTTAAAATTATGGGTCCATTAAAGCAGTAGAGAAGACAAAAATATTGTGCAAGGAAAGGGGACATTGCAAGTATCTTTGTCTTTGTGAGTTTTAGTATTAACTATGTATAGTATGAAACTCTTAGCTTCTGTTTTGTCAGCCCCCACCCCCAGAGCCTGTGGAACTGAAGACATTAACTGAGGTTTCCAAGCATGTCATTTCTGCAGGTAATGTAGCATCACACTGCATGTGGAAGCATCAGCCTGGGTGTTCTCTCTCAGTTTCTAGAAATAGGCATTTTCTTATCTTCTCTTTTCCCACAATGGTGAATTTCATAAATGTAATGATAGTAACGTGAGTTTATACTGAAATTTAGGTAGTTTTTCTTTTACTCTTGAGAGTTAATCTTGTTTTTGGTGCTGTTTTGTTGTCCACCCCTACTCCAGAAGCATTTATGTCTGGTTAAAGCTAGAATATGCAGCAGAGGAGAATTGGGCTGTAGCTAATAACTGCCTCTAACATATTAATCTTTTGAGTAGATGAAGCATTTTTCAGTGATTTCATTGTTTTCCTTCCTCATATTTTCTTGGCTGCCTGTCCCACGCCAGCTGTCCCTATTACTGCTTGGTGGCTGGTGTGTCCGTTTGAAGCTGGAGTAGCATCCAATGGAGACTGCATTACATTGCTGAGTGCCTCTGTTTTACATTCAGTTTAGTTTAAATTGTAGCAGGAAAAGATAACTTTGTGATTGAGCTTATGGGAAGAGCTTAATGAGCTGAAACAATATGTATCGTTCTTTGTAAGGTATCTTGCATGCGTCTGTGTATCCAAACCCAGACTTAGATTGTTCGTGCATTTCTGAGAAATTAAAACTGAGAGACATAGGAGAGGAAAAGTTGATTTAATAGAGTTTGTGAAACAACCTGGGAATCCAGTCTGCATCTGATCTGTGGAATAGTCATTCCTGGAGAAGAGTAGAATCATCTTTTTCAGGATCAGCAAACTTTTTTCATAAAGAGCCAAATGGTAAATATTTTAGGCTTTTGGGCCATATGGTCTCTTGCCATAGATAATATGTAAACAAATGAGCCTAGTTGTGTTCCAATAAAACTGTATTTATGGACACTGAAATTTGAATTCATATAATTTTCACATGTCAAATTTTTTTTCACTGTTTAAAAATGTGTAAACTATTTGCTGACTGGCCATACAAAAGCAGGCAGTGGACCAGTTCTAGCTCATTAGCTAGTTAAGTTGGCAGGGGGCGGAGGGTAGGGGGAATCATACCAGGTAATTATTACTTAATATGGAAAAATGCTAGAATATGCAAAACAATCATACTGCAGAATCATATGGAAAAATCCCTAGTGATCTTTTTTAAATTTTTTTAATTACAGTCGACATTCAATATTATATTAGTTTCAGATGTACAGCTTAATGGTAGTTTTTCAAGTACTCTCTCAGTTCATTCTCAGTTATATCTCTGTATTTAGGAACACAGGTTTTAAAGCATATTTTAAAATAGCAAGCATTATCAGAGAAATATGGATGGGTGCAGATTTTAAGAAATGGCGCCATGTTTCCGAGTTCGCGTGTGTCTGCTATGAAGATTCTTTGGGGGAGAGGTGTGTCTTTTAATAAGGAACAAATCTAATGGAAAAGGGAATGAACTGAAGTGTGGGCCTACAGAGTTCTTAGCCTTGAAGTCTCTTCCTGTGGTTTGCCACCTTGTGGCCTCCTTCCTTTACTGGAGTGTCCAAAATGCAAAGTGGGGACAAAGCAGATAACCTGTGGTCTGCCCAACCTGCTTCCCAAATCTGACCCTCCCCTAACACTTTGCTGTATTTTCTGTATCTGCTCATGTTTAGGGGGTCAGTTTTCTCTGAGAACATGAGGACTTGGAGAGACAGTGGGGCCACATTTATCTTTTGCAGACATTATTTTAAACATTTGTATTCAAATTAGTTCTCTTTATTCCCTTTGGCATTGGTGTTCTAAGTATTAACCTCTCTATCTCTGCTGCTGAGAAATGCCCCTCCAACTAGAAGAACTGGGATGGAGGTGGTACTGCTACTATGGTGTTTGTCCTCCCCCTGTACTGCCAGCAGTAGGCCCTGTGGTTGATGTGCTCATTTGAATTTACCTTGTTAGGAACAAAATATTACATAATGGGGTTGGGATTTTTTTTAAGCTCCCAATCCACCTGTAAAATTCAGGAAAATGGTTTTCTTGTTTCCTAACAACCAGCCCAGTTTTGATGTTAAGATCATTACCTAGTGTGTCTAACCACTAAGGAATCGTTGGGTGACCTTTTTCACTTTCACCAGTATATTTAAAATAACCTAAGATGTTGGCTGTCACTTAAGTGCTTCACAGTGAAACTGAACTTTCCCTCTTCAGGCATCTGAAGCAAGTTCTGAGCAGTGTAGAGTTCTGAGAGAGGGGGGTCAGGGCCAGGGCTGAGGGGGCAGCCTAAGGGTTGTGTGTCCAGGCCTTCCTCTGGCCCACACAGCCCCTCTCCTGTCGGGTTTACCTTCCCAGGATTTACCTTCTGCAGCAGCCCCGTATACTATATATACCTGAGCATTTGTGTTTGGCTTGGTGTGTGTATGCTTTCATTGTGTAAAGTTGCTGTTTTTTGACCATTGAAGTGACTGTTGGATTTACTATAACTGAAAACAAAAATTGTAAGAAAAAGATTCCAATGATAGTGCTGTGGATTTAATTACCAAGATGTTTACACCTCTCTTTTACCTATTGTTTTGAGGAACTGTTTTGACTCTTCTCCCTCACTTAATGGCTTGTAGTCTTTCCTATGTCATAATAAAGCTACATTTTATTCTGAAAATTGGCCGTCTCTCCCCTTTCTAACAGCAGCCAAAGAGGGGCAAGGCATGTGAGGCTCCAGGCTGTGGATACCTGCCAGGGCAGGCATTACCAAGATGGAAACCCTGCCAAGTTCAGCGGCCAGAGCTATTGTTTTGTGCCAACCTGACTGCCCTGGGTGTTGGCAAGTCCATGCAACCTACATTTCTGTTTTCTGTGTTTGATCTGCTGCTGCTTTAACACTCTTTTCCTCCTCTTGTGGGAAGGATGGTGACCTATCATGGATTCAGGACAGCCATGGGCTTTCAGAATTTGATGTGCATAAAAGTCACCTGAGGGGCTTCTTTAAATGTGGCAGTCCTTGCCAGAGTTTGATTACAAGACCTGGGATGTGGTATAAGTATACGCATTTGCAGCAAGCTCCTCAAATGATGAGAAAATAGCATATATCAATAAAAAGAAGGTAGGCATAGTTTGTGCTGTCCTTGATTCTGTAATTGGTCACAAGACTACCTAACATCTGTGACATCCTTCCACTCCACATTGCACGCTTCCCTCACCCTCAGAACTTTACCTGATCTTTACCTGGTTGACCCAGACCATCATTTCTGAAATGTCTCTTTATTTTTTTGGATGCCATTGTTGCAAGTTCCTTTACTTACATAGAAATACCGAGAGGTGCCAGAGAATCCCTCTGGATTCCAGCCTTAGCTCTCCTCTCCCCATGCGTTGCAGTCTCTTCAAATTAAGTAGAAATGGAGTTGTTTCCCCCGGGGTAAACTACTCCTTTGGGGTCCAAGACCTTTAAACCACCAAAGCCCAAGTTTTCTAGAACAAGAATAAGAAAAATTTGTGATTGAGTTACTAGGTATAATAATGCTGAAAAGTGCCAGTCTCACTCCCACTCCTTGATCTCGAGACCTGTATGTTTTGAGGAAGTCAGCACCATATAATGGTTTCTGGTTGAAAATATAAAAGTTATCCCAGAAGAGAAGAACCACATCCTTTCGCTATAACAGACATCAGTAATTATAAGCTCAGCTGCTTCCAGGAGGTAGGTGATATAGTAAGAGCCGTTCTGTAGACACAAGCCCCTTACTGCATGATCTTGCTACTGTAAATTGGGTTCCCTGATCAGAAGCAGTGATGCATGGAATGTTGCAATAGTGGATGGTAGTACTGACAGGCAGGGCAGGCAAATCTATATCCAGAATATTGGTTTATTCCAGAGAAGACAAATCTCCGCCCCTCTCCCTCCCCAACATGATGGAAAAGGCCCCGTGTCATCAGCCTGCCACCTGATGGCTAGCTGCTACTAGGATATTGTCATCCCAGAGATTTGTTAGTCTCTTGTTAGCCAGTTAGGCACTGTGCAGCAGCTAGTCATATGGACCTTGGTCAGGGCAAGTCTATGACATTGAGCCTATTCTAGCCTCCACCTCTGTCTAGATGGCCATTTAGTTCATGGGTCCACTAAGCAGGCATGGTGTCTGAGAAAGGAAGCTGACTACATCCACAAAGCATGCCATTTTGTCCCCCTGATCATTAGAAGTTCCCCCTGTAGGGATTCTTATGGGCATACAATAGATAGAGATATCTTTTTGACCTGTGCCCATTTCGAGAGATCTGTATGTATCCAGATCTTGTCACTGATCTTTAAATCCTATTCCAAGTCCTTGACCATCCAGCCAAGCTGTTAACAATTCCCCATAAATCGATACAGATGAGGATTTTTGGTGCTTTTTCATTCTTGGGCAAGGTGGGTAACCAAATGTCTCCAAGTTCCACTCACAGGGCTTCCTTCATCACTGTTCTAAAGGACCATCCTCAGTCATCTGGCCACAGGGAACACTTGAGGCCATGCAACAGGTATCTGTTGCAACAGTGAGCTACCTGCTCCTGTAATTTACTGTACCTTCTGGACATAGCCAAACTCAGTCTCTCATATGCCATTTCCACTATGGCTGATACACACCCCCAACCTTAAGGCTAAGCAAATCAGACAATATTCATTTTGTTATGGAATGCTCAGGCTTGCATGGTCAGCTGTTATCTAGTCTCTACTGAGTCCAAGAGGCAAGTAGGAGCTATTTCAAAAAAGAAGAAGATATAGGTTTGATTTGCTCTGCTTTGGAATCCTGGAGGTCTGTGCCATTATTCTCCAATTGGTCCTTGTTAGTCTCCATAAAGCCTCCTTATTTGCCCTGGACACTTGGAGTACCATTGGATCTTCTGGATCATAAGATTTAAGTGGTAGTGCAGCATGTATGACAGCCTGAACTTATGTCCCACTTGAAACTGGGAGCTATATGGATATAATTAATACTCAGATGTGGTACATGCTGCTTCCAAAACCCACCGAGGCCAGTCAAGTATTGTGCCTCTTTTTACATGTTAGGTGGTATGAGATGCAGCAGTGTGTCTTCATCCTTCAAGAGGATATCTTGATATGCTTCAGACCACTGAACTCCCAGACACTTAATTGAGTTGGGGGCCCTTGAGTTTTGGGGAGTTTATTTCTCATGCTTTGGTTCACTTGTCTTATTAAAGCATCTATAGGATTTGATTCTTCCTGTTTATCAGATACAATCAGCAAAATGTCATCAATATTGTGAACCAAAGTAATGTTTTATGAAATATCAAGATGATCAATATTTCTGTAGATTCTATTATACCAGAAAGCAAATTTAATGTAACTCTGAGGCTATCCCATGAAAGTATACTCTGCCCTACCAGGTAAAAGCAAATTGCTTTGGTGGTCTTTAAAAACTGGTACAAGATAAAGGCATTAGGTCAATGGATGCATATAGCATACTTGGTGCCAAGGCCCACACTGATTTGCTCCAGTGAAGATATATCTGTGATAGCAGCTGCAGTTTGACAGCACCTGATTAGGTTTATAGTACAGGCATAGCTTTGCTTTATTGTGCTTCACAGATGTTGCATTTTTTAACAATTGAAGGCAAGACCCTCCACCAGCAAAAAAGACTATGACTTGCTTTATTGCGATACTCGCTTTATTGCGGTGGTCTGGAACCAAACCCACAATATCTCATAGGTATGCCTGAGTCTATAACCATTCTCTGAGATCTGACTTTTGCATGGGCCAAACAAGTGAGTCAAAGGGGAATGTGATAGGTATCACTGCTTATTTCAAGTCTTGATGGGGACATTAATCTTTGAAATCCCCCTAGAGATATAGGATTGCTTCTGGTTTATTATCCTGATAGTGAGGTGAAGTTCCAGGGGCTTCCACATAGTTTTTCCAATAGTAGTCATTTTCCAATAGATATGATTTAATGCAGGGATCCTGCCAGTTGTCAAGTATGCCCGCTATACACTACGGACTGGGGAAATAACCACAGAATAGATCAAATGTACCTCAGTTTTTAAAAATAAGAAATTGTATAATTTCTGGGTAGAACCTCTAAGAACCAATGCATGCTTTTCTATGGTCCTTTCTCTCAACCATAACAACTGGCAATGGTCAGATAGAGACCATTCATCAACCAGAAATAGAGAATAACGTGGAGGAGAACCTGTAAGTGACCGGTCATGTTATGTGAGCAAGAAATACATGTTTTGTTGTTGAGGGGGAAAAAAAGAAAAAAGAAAAAGCTATTGTCTTGGACTGCATCAATAAAAGAATGATATCTAAAAATGGGAAGGGGCCAGATCTAGTCTTTTCAAGTACTTAAAGTGCCTGGTCCACAGTATTCATTGAGTAAATGACTATCCCACTTAGCTTGTGAATCCCATAACCAAAGACTATTCCAAGTGGAATCTAATGGTGAGCACAAAGGGGCCAGGCACTGTCCCCAAGGCACTTGCAGGAAGGGAAATAAGCCTTGCTACAGTATTCACACAATCTGAGAAATGCAGACAAAGGGTAATATACCATACTTTGGCAATCTGATAGAGCACTTGGGAGCCTAGCTGAGGAAGAGACATTTAGCAGCACAGGGGTGGTGGTGGTTCCAAGCAGAGGGGGCAGCTGGGGTCCTGGTAAATGCTGAAGACCTGTGTACTTGGAGACATCAAGCAGCACAAGATGGCAAGTCAACTCCAAGCTTGGTCCCATCAGGAATGATAAAGGAACAAGAGCTGAATCTTAAACATTTGTGGAATCACTACCTATAATTAAAGGACTGGCTCAGGGAAGAATAGAGCTTGGTTCTAGGTGCTTCTGAGAAGTAGAGCCAGTTGGAAGAAGTTACAAAGAGGTAGAATCTCAAACTGAAAGAGTTTTCCCAGGAGAGCCATCTAAACGTGGGAGGGGCCCATCTAGTCTGAGGCAAAAGGACAGGATTCAGGATCTGAGCCTCTAATGAGTTGAATGTGACGGATTCATTTCCTAGAAAAGAAGACTTAAGTCTAAATTAGCATGCAGGAGGTTTTCTGGGAAGTATGAGGGCGGGAGGGGAGCAAGACCGAGTGCAGGAGAAATCGTGGTGCAATGCTGTCATAACAAAGGCCTCAGCCAACCCTGCAGGAAGCGCTGGTGGGGGTGCTGGCTGGCCCTACAGAATTAGGCTAAATGGCCCTGTTGTGGATGAAGGTAATCCTCAGGAAGAAGCATGAGCATGGGTCAGGTGGCTCTGTTTGATTAGAGAGCAGTTTGTACAGAAAGACTCAACTGTGAGCCACCTATAAGCAGCCCTCTTCCAGAGGGGGGCTGAGTCCGTCAGTTCTGGGGAGGCCTGAGGATGCACAAGAGTGTCTACCACATTCAGTGACACCTCTAACTCAGCAAAAAGTCCATAACAGGCAGGATGGCCAGTTTAAACCGGAGTAAACCTGAAGCACCAACCTGGACCAATTTTATGAGGCAGGACACTGTCTCCTCCCTGCTTTTCTCTGGGTCTCCAGCTCCCTGTTTACACACATCAGTCACTTGCCAAATAAGGGAGGCATATTCCACTTTTTTCATAGGAAGAAATTTATTCATCTGAAATCTTACACACTTTATCCCAGTGTGGGGAGTTCATTTAAGTTGGAGGTAATATTCTTCATGAAACAAAT